AGCACTGCCAAGCCAGAGGAGTGGAGAGAGGCTGCTGCTGCCCTCTGAAGGCATCACCAGCTCTGTGAGTCAATCAGCTCACCACCACAGTTAATCAGGGAAAAAAGAAAAGGGATGAGAGAGGTCCAGATCTTGAACAATTTCCTCTCCACACTGTAAACCCCAGGCAAAGGAGGACAGCTATGTTGATGCAGACAAACAGTGGATTAGATTAAGCATTGGATAAAGCCAAGGAAATAAGCTTTTGAAAATGAGCTTTCTTGTTTGTTTGCCTGACAAGCATGGGTGCCTTGTTCACAGCAGCTCATACATTCCAATAAGCTAGAAGAGGCTCATGACAAATGCTCTCAGGTCTCATTTACTGCAGCATTTACTTTGATTTCAAAGAGCAGGACTTTTTTAGCAACTACAGGACACTCTTAGACAGGAGAATAGCTAGATGGTGGCAACTGCTTTTCCCTGAAGTTGTTAAGGAAACTTTCCTGTCTCACCACTCAGGAGTCACTCTGGCAGTCACTCCCACCACTCCAGACTGTCCCTGCTGGGAACAAAGCCCCTTCACAGTGGGTGGCTCCAGTAATCCCATGGGTGCCCCTCTTGGCTTGATGCCCACCCCACACTCAGAGTCAGAGAAAAGGGTTCCTTACCAGCTCAGCTCTGGGTTTCCCACAGCTCAGGGGGTGGGAGTGTGACTGCCAGAGCGGCTCCTGGATGGTGGGATGGGAAAGGTTCCTTAACACAGAGCTATTGAGGATGAGCCACTGAATTTACCCAGGACTGTGGGTCCAGCAGGCAGCATCTCCAGCCTGCTGCAGGGCTTCCAGGGAAGAGAGGTGCTGAACATTTAAGAGCCAGAAGAGACTGATGACAGTCAGTGACAGGCTGAATGGAAGAGCTCAGAGGAGCTCCATCTGCACTACCAAACACAGCCATGCCCAGCACGTAATCACCATCCACTGCTGTCTTCTGAAAAAAGCAACAAGATGGGGGAAAATCACAAGAAATCCTCTGCATTCACTCAAACTTCTATTGGACAGTGGTTCTGAATCTCTGAGATTCAAAGTTCCAAAGGCACATCAGAATTCTTCTCCCATTGCCACAAAAAAAATATTAGAAGAGAGTTTTTTGTAGATGTGGTGCATACACCACTTAAGAAGTGCTTTTCACACATACTGTCAGTTCTCTCCTGCAGAACAGCTTCTCCCACCCTCTCATCTCTTATATCCAACCACACAGCAAATACACAATCCATCAGCCTGAGATGTACCTGAAGAAAGACAGGTTTAGCACTTGTCATAGTGAAGCCATGAGACAGATACACAGGGGACAAGAGTGAACAAGTTTCCACTCTAACAGCCATTGATATGTTAGTCAATAAGCCTTTCATGTGAAGAGGATTAAAAATCCCCAGTGAAAAAGAGGGCTGGCTTACCAGTGATGGGTGTAAATCAGTTTCAGAGGCCTGCAGGGCAGCTGATTTGTGGCACAGTCTGTGGTTTCTTACTGACATTTAATATAAATAAATTCTGTCACTTTCTAGGTAGTCCTATTGCAGTACTGACTTGAGGACTCAGTGTCTTGTAACTGGTCTGTCTTTGAGAAGCCCAAGCAATTCTAACAGAACTCACTCTTTCATGTAAAAAAAAAAAAGTTTTTAAAAAAGTTTTAAAAAAACCCAACAAACAAAAACAACTCAACAACCACAGAAAAGTCCTGTTTGTGAGCCAATGCAGCTGTCTTCATAAATTTCAAGGTCAGAAAGAATGATTCTCTGACTCCAATCTATTTTCCAATGTAACAGAGGTTGTTAACTGCACAGTTCATAATAATTATGCCACAAGAATTATCAACTAGCTCTTGGCATAAGTGGGAATTAGCTTTGAAGCCAAATGAGAGACACTTCAAACAGCAACTCCCTGAATACCCTTGCAATTCACAGCTACTGAAAATCTGCTCTGTGCTATGGCAGGAGTTCAGGGTAGGTAGGACCCTTCAAGCCATTATCTTTTTGTTTAAGGAGTTTGCTTTCCTTTTCCTCATTGCAAAGTCTGGTGATCAAACTACAATCAAGACTCTACCTTCTGTTATACCAATTATTCAGGTGAAAATTAATTTAGCCAGCTATTTCCTTTACCTGCATATACCTCTTCTTTACTGCTCTCTCCCATACAGGTGAGTCTCCTATACACAAGTCCATATTTGTGGCCCCAAGAGTGTGCTGGCCATGCACAGCAAGCAACTGTTGATAAATGATGACAATTTTCAGCTCACTTACTTCTGCACTGGAGTTGTCACTTCTTTTCATCACTTGGAGAAATGCACCCAAACTACTCAAACATCTGAGCTGCCACTCCTTGTGGACTTAGGACAGCTTTCACAAGACCTGAAGAAGGGCTTGGGGCAGGATTAGCCCCCTGGAAGGATGAACTTACACATAGGAGAGATGTAAACTGGCACAACAATGATACAGCACTTGCTCTCCCAGGTGGGAATAACTAACAAGGGTACTCCAGGTAATTTCAGATGCAAGTAATGAATAAAGGCACCCAATTCTCAGGTGGGAAGTGGCACTTATTTTACAGCATGCCATTTTGAGCACCACATTGATGAGAATGAGCTGTACCTTTGCTGGAAAGTTGCTTTAAAAGCTGCTACTTCTGTTTTAAAGCTTTTGTTTATGTAGCTGAATGCTTGGTGCCCTTACCTGGAGCTGTTGGGATAGCAGGGGGAAGAGAAAGCCCTCTCCAAACGTGTGGGCAAGCAAGAATATCCCATTTAACCTATTTTTGTCCTGCCAGGTCCACCTTCCATATTTGAAATATGAACAGGATGACTAATTACCTCCTCTTTGCTCAGGGAAATACCAAATACCCTGCCCTTCACACTTTTAATTAACAAGAAAATTTGCAGTGACTTTCCTACAGAGAATGTTGACTGTGGGCTGAATTTCCAGCTCAGGTACCCCTGGGAAACTCCCTGGGCACTGTGGGGAATCTGTGCCAGGGTGGGTCTTGCTTTCTCACCTGCTTTCCTGAGTGGCAAGTGGTGCTGGCTCTGCGCAGACCTGTCCCAAGCGGGGAAGGGGCAGCCAGGGAAGCCAGCCAGCCTGGCCTCTTTCAGGAGCTCAGACACCCATTTGGTGGCTTTGTCTAACACACAACCTTCCTTCAGGGTGAGGGAGCTGCACTCTGCCAGGCCCAGGAGTCCTGCTCTGCCATGGGGAAGGAGCCAGGCTGGGAAGGAACAGGGAATCCAGTTAGGAAGGTTTTCTACTCTGAGACTACAGAAAAATTAAGAAGTTTGCATAACTAAGCACACCATAAATACCACAATTTGTCTCTCACTAGACCTGCAGTTTCTCCTCTGGAGGACACAGGTTGCCTCTAAGAGCCAAATATTTTCCATCTGCTGACTCAGTGGCAAGTGCCAAAAGGCCTTCCAGGTGAACCTGGACCTAAAAATAAAAGGCAACTCAAACCCTGCAGTGTTCACCCTGCTCCCATCAGTGCCAGCAAGATATTCTGCAAGTTCTCTGATTGATAAAAAATTAAAACATAAACCAAGTTGCTGTCCACGTGGCTAGGACCAGAAGCAGCTCTGCTTCCTGGCAATAAAAACATGTGCTTGGCTATGGGGAATATCAGGAAAAAGGCCAGTGGTACTAAGAATAGCCCCATCAATAAGTTTATGACAAAATTGCATGGACACAGAATAAATCACTTACCTTAAGATGGAGACAGAGTAAAAAGGGAAGACAGATTCAGTGTGATGAGAAGTGGCTCAGTCTAGGTCATTACTGAGGTAGAAGGCAGCAGACTCCAGGAGGTGGTGAGAGAAACTCCTTCTTCCCGTTCTGACAGCTCCTCCAGGAGGTTTTCTCAGGTTGGTGACCACAAGGGTAGAAAAGACCCACCCTGTGGCCCTGTCACAGCCATGTGACATGGTCAGCAACCACAGTGCAAACCCGAATCAGAACCCTGTATTCAAAAAGCAAGTGTTTCTCATGCTGCAGCTCTGGCATGGGGACAGGGTGTTTGCTTCCAGAGGACTGGAAGCTTCCTCAGCACTGCTCAGCATTGCTCCTCAGAGCTGCTCCCAGGGCCCTTCCAGGCCAGCCTCACACTGACACCATGGCACAGCTTTCCAGCCACCTTCAGGTTCACCCAGCCTGGAAAAGAAGAGCACTTGCAGAGGCTTGTGCAACCCCACGTGGCTGTAAATGTGGTGGCCATGACCATACACTCGGTGTGGTTTACAGAACAGGTTGTGTTTACTTCAGTTCACAAAGTAAAGCCACCAGCTTTAATTCTCCATAAAAACAAAACAATGGGGCAAGTGCATGATTCAGAGGGCTTGGTGCAAATTTTTGCAAAGTAACAGATACAAAACCAAAATAATTAAAATCATACATACATGTAAAACAAAAGAAATTCAAGTTAAAACCAGGACTAATTCCTATTAGCCCTAGAGATGATCCAAGAATATGTCAGAAAATAAATACATTGTTCTAGTTTTCACCATAAAAGAGGGTGCTGCTCTCTGATCGAAATGGTTTGGGTATTTACAGAAGGCAACTAGGCCACAGGAAAAACAGAAAGAAGAAAAGCATTCATGAGAGTGAACTGAAATGCTGCAGGGTGACCTGACCACTTCCCCACACACCTCGGTGTGACTAAGAGAAGACTCAGCCATAGCAAGGGCTGAAGAAATTAACTGTGAGCAGGACACCATCATCTGCCCCACGCTGGGGGAACTGTGCCAAGGGAGACCTGCATAGTGTGGCTGCCACCACAATCCATGGCTGCCCTGGGGCACGTGGCAGTAAGCTGGCCTGGTCAGGCCAATTTATGAACAAGAAAGAAATTTACCCTACAATCCACCTGAAGGGAATGCTGCTTAAAGGCACATCTCCCTGGCCTCTGCTGGATGTGGGTGCTCTGAGGAAGAGGAGGCAGTCAGCACCACTGAACCTCTTCTCCTGGCATGGAAAGGCAGACAAAGCAACAGCCTCATTTACCAAGGCAGCCTGGCTTGTGCTCATAGCTGGTGTTTCTGATGCTTTACTGCCATATAATAACCAGCTCTCCTTTTGCTGCATGTGCTACTAATGCCAAATCCTGGCAGGTCAGAGCTGTGCTCCAGCGCAGCCAGTGAAGCAGAAGATGTTTAATGCCTAACAGAAGCATAGAAAATTCTGCAGTTAATGTCATAGCATGCAAAAAAACATCCCAGAGGCTCATCCTAACCTTCTGTTTCCTTGTCAAGACACACTTATTTACCAAGTACCACTTGGAGTAGATCAAGTGGTAGTTGTGTTGTGTCCATATTTTCAATGGGGTTTGACATTTAAGGTAGCACTGCAGTTCACCTCTAAGCCTATGATAACACTTGCAAATCTGCTTAGCAAGACACCAGCAGAGCATCCCAGGGACAGCTGAAACAGATTGGCTCTGTCCCCACAGAAGCAGCACTGGGGTACCAAGTGATGCTACAAAGCAGACGCTGCAGGCTGCAGTGCCTGACACAGACACCTGCAAACTGGACCCACTCCTAATCTTCACAACAAAAACAAAACCAAAGACAGCAAAGAGCCCTCACTTTATCTTAAAAGCAATACTGCACTGAGTCAGATACCACTGGAGGTCAGGAGCACTTCATGAATGCACTGAGCCAGGACTCCTTTCCACACCCACTGATTATCCTCGGTCTCATGAAATCCACAAGTGCTAAAAGTACCAGGGTAGGCTCAGGATGAAATACTGATCATCATCTCCTGATCTGCAGTCACGATGGCCCGGTGCTGAGAAGCACCTTTACATATCCTACCCATTTGATTTTCTCCTTCATCATAGCCCTATCACCACTGAAATTTTGAGAGCAAATTGATTCCAAATGCCAGGATGTTCAGTATATTTTGCACCCAATTTACACACCCCAGCCATCCTTTGCACCCAATTTATACCAGAAGCCCCAGGATATGACTGGAACCAAATAAACTACATATGAAGTACTCAGCTCAGATTCCACATATACTTGGTTCTCTTCAGGCCTGGGGAAAAAAGCAAGTCGGATCAATTCTGATTTGGACTTTTCATCCATACCCATGGGAAGCAAAATTAAGGATCTTCTCTCACAAGCCACCTCAGCAGATCTTTCTGCAGGATGCAAATGGCTTCAACCCTGAGTTCAACTTTAAAAGAGAAATTAAGTGCTCAGCCTTCACCACGAAGCACCAGAAGCAAAGAGAACACTGAGCACAGAGGCCTCCACTGCAGGGACAAAGAACAAAGAAGAAGCACAATTGGGAAAGAGGGAGAAAAGCAGAAAGAACTCAATTTGTATCATACCAAACAAAAACAAGGAAAGGTGTCACCAAGAAGTTAATACTAATAGAGAGAGAAACCTTACAGAAGGCAGACTGTGCTGTTCAACAGCAAAACCTCTGCAGCCCTTAGTGGTCACTTGGGAGCAGCCTGGTACCTCCACCAGCAATGATCCCAGGCTGGCAAAAGAACCTATCTAGATACCATTCTCAGCCATATGAACCCTCGGGCCCATTTCAATGACATGAGCACAATTCCTATTTTTCTCCTCTTTCCCCAGCAGGGATGACACACCCCTTTGTCCAGCTCGGTGCACACAGTTCTCCACCCCTCAGGCAGCCTCCTCCTAGCAGACAGAGGTGCAGTTGAGCTCAGCAGGGTCCTGCCTGCCGGCTGCGGCTGCCTCGGGGCCGTCGGCGATGCTGGGCTCGCTGGAGCACTGCCGGGGCCCGAAGCAGCTGGGCTGCAGCAGCAGGCACTTGTCAGGAGTGTCCTGCTCCTCCACCACCATCCCCGTGTGCATCATGGAGGCCATGGCCAGCAGCTGGAGGTCCGAGTGAGCGTTGGCCACCGTGTGCCGACGGATGCTCCCACACTTCTCCAGGTAGGCCTCGCCCTCCTGCTCCGTCAGCGGGGTCAGGGCCTTAGGGCAGGATCTGGAGTACCTTCTCTCTGCAGGAGAAAGAGGCAGCAGGAATGGTCAACAGCATACAAACAGAGAGCTGCCCACACTGCTGGGCTGGCCTCGGGGACAGAGAGAATTCAGCGTGCAGCTACAGAGTGCCCACTTCATTACCACTGGAAAGCAGTCAGGAGCTCACTAGTTCATACTGCTAGGTGCTGGGAAAGGAAATCTGCCTCTGCCCCAGAGAGGAGAGACCTCCCATCCTGCTGCAGGGGCTGCTGCCTGCAAGAGAAGTGAGCCAAAATGTCACCAGTGCAGCCAAGGAACTCTAGCATCCTCAGAGTCTTCTCTTTTACCAAGGGGTGAAAACCAAGTAGATAGTGAACCTCACACACAGGGTCACTAAAATAAGTGACATTAAAGTGGCACAAGTCTCCAAAAAAACATTCAGTGTGGATTTGAATCGCCATGCCTGTCTCTGAAGAATTTCTCTCAGGACGTGCCATTAGCTGTTGTCAATGTGAAATTCCTGATGCTTACATTGCACTGTCTCTACATCTGCCTAGGAACAGGCCATTCTGTTGGCATTATCCCACCATATTTTTTAAAGATCATGCCAGAAAAAGGACATTTCATCCACTTTGCCTCACATCTGTTTTGGAGGCTGGACACAGAAAACACCTAAGAGTGCACAGGAACAGTCCACAGCAGCCTGGGAAGAGGGGCACAAGGGAAAGGCAGGATTTGTGCTGAGGAGGAGAGGCAGTGGCACGGAATGGCTGGGTGTGGGCTGCACAGTCTGCTCAGCAAAATGTCAAGGAGGAAAATTGCCAGGTCTAAAGCACAGCCCCAAGGTGCAGTCCCCAGTGCAGTACCATGAAGCACATGACAATTCTGACACTGAAAGCCTGAAGGAAGGCAGGGGTCAGAGTTTTGCCCTGGCTCACTGTAATCCCACCCCAGCAGGTTGAATCAGACACTGTTACTGTTCCCCGGCTGGCTTCCACCTCCTGCAATGTTCCAGGTGGTTTTGGACACCTCCTGTGGGTCTATCCCTGCAGCAGCTGATGGAGCCATTCCCTATGTGCCCCTCTGTTTCTCACAAACTTCACTGAAGTGCAGGGTCCCATTTCATAGTCAAAAGCCTTTAAACCATATAAAAGGCTTCCAACCAAGACTGCAGAAGATAAGAGTAACAAAATGTAAAGCAAAGCACTCCTCGCTGAAGGTTATAAGAGTTTTGGAAGCTTGTATCAGGAAGAAAAGCAGAAAACAAACTATTTGCTGCAGGGAGGAACAGGTGAGCAGCCTTCACCATGTTACTGCCAGTAATACATCAATTCAAAATGGTTCATTCACACTTATGAGTATGCAAAAATCACTTCTGAGGCTGGTTACAGCAAATACATTCTTAGGTTTCATCTGCAGCTCAAGCCAGAGCAAGTTGAAGTGTTAAAGGACATTAGGATATGACTCTTTTGAGAAAAAAAATTAGGTGAAATTAGTCTAAACTCTAAAAGTAAAGCAATGCATTTATTGCTTTACTTTCCCCCCTTTACTTTCTTGGCCACAAAAGACAGTCTCTTAAGGGAGTTGTTCTGCATAGCTTAACTAGAAATTTTATTTTTATTTTGGTGCCTTATGACCAGGAATATAAACTGGGAGGAGTGAGTTTTTCTGGGACTTTTTTGTAACCAACCTCAGATCAGCAGTGATGTGTGGCTGTTTTACCTTCTCTCCTATCCCCAATACAAACCCTGTTTCTTGGCCAGCTGGATCCCTTTGGGATATTGCATCCTAACCATGCAGGTTATGGCTAATTCACACAGGCAAAGCAAAAGGCAAAAAGCTAACAGACCAGATGGAAATGCTGCCATCTACAACTCCCCTCTGTGAGGGGTCCTGTCCCTTTCACACCTCTCTGCTTTAAATCAGCTTAAGAGACAGCAGCCTTGCAGGCTGAAGCCTTATGTATAGTCCCAGCTGGGAGCAGACACCTTCAGTCACATTTCCCAACAATCATTTACCCTGAAGCTCCAGTCCAGAGGGCAAGTCTGGCCTCCAGAGCAGCAGTGTACAATGCAAGCACACCCAATGCCCAAGAGCCCCTCCCAAAAGCTACTGTGGGGAACCTACTGGGCTTCACCATCATTACAGGCTGCCCAGCGAGAGAAGAAACTGGTTCTGAGAAAGCAAAATGATGACTGAAAGAGGGAGAGGGAAGAGAAAGAAGTCTGATTACAAATGAAAGATAAGGAAGAGAAGCCCCCTCCATAGCAGCACTGTGAAAGTACCAAGATTATTTGTAGAAAAGTTCAGTTTTGCAGTCCCTGTCTTGTACTGCAAAAAGAAATTCCTTCTCTCCTCATGATCACCAAAGGGTGGAGCAAGAGTAAAAGGCCACCTTGGAAATATACACAAATAAATGAAAGCTAAAAATCAAAGTAAGTTCAATTATTTTAAGGCATATAATCTCTACAAGGCCAGCTTGTATAGGTTTTCTTATTTTTTTTTTAATGGCACAAATGCTTTGTTCAGCTGGCAGAAATCCAGGATGGCTAGAAACTTCAGCACAGGTCAGGCAGCTGCCTTTCAAACAATCCCAGCACCATGCACTTGTCCATAAACAGCAAAGCAATCAAATCTGTCAAAGTCCAACTTATACAGGGGATTTTGGTCTGATTGAGCCCTAGGATCAGATCTGCTTAATCCATGCTGAACTGTACAACCATGCTCACTTGCACAGAAGATATCTGATTGCCCAACAACCACAAAAACAAAAATCTTGAGTCACAGTTTTCCTAAAGCAATGCCATAGGTTTATTACAGGCACAGACTGTCCGAGTTCCAATTAAGTTCTCCTACCACAAGACTATCTCTGCCCATATGCTGCTAAGTGTACTACAAGGCACCTTGTGGGTCTCCAGCTTGCTACAATTTTGCATCAAATCAAAGGCTAAAGGTAGTAAAAACAGAGGGAGACTAGAGCTTTCTTCACTTGTTCTATTTAAACTTCTTGACCATCAAATCAGTTAACACTATGCCCATTAGCTGGCCAAGCTCTTCTGGCTGGCCACACGTGTGAGCAGAGCTCCTGCATCATGTGAAGAAGTTTCCCAGAATGATCATGCTCTTCCTTAAGCGAGGTGCCCATTCTCTCACCTGGATATGTTTATCCACACTTTAAACACAGAATTTTAATTTGGGTTTTTTTTTTTAAACAGAATCCTCAGATGGAAGGAAGACTTTATGCAAAATCCCTGTCATCCCTCAGAATTAATATGCAACAGTTCAGCTGTTTGCAAAAGCTGATTGATTCAGCAGCTGAAGCAGGCTAGCAGGCAGGCAGCAAAGGACCAGGTCTCTCACTGTGGTGAAAGCAGTACACCAAGCATGGGCAAAGGGGTTTTAAAATCCAGTCCATGTCCAGAGAGAGGGAAGACATTGTGGGGGTCTGTGTGCAGTGATAGAGTACTAATAGCTCATTAGGTCATGGACAAGAAAAAGTCTGTCACACAAACTTGTATCCAGAAACATTAATCAGGGCCTTTTCAAGGGTGTTTTAGCCTTTGTTTTCTGTCTCTCACGGAGTCATGCACTGTTTCCTTTTCCAGCACCAATGCCCCCCGTTACCCAACCCGTGCGCCCCAATAATAGCTCCAGTACAATGTGCATGTCTTACCAAGCAAGCAGGTGCTACCAGACGAGCTGTGATCCTCACACAAACCTAAGAATGGTGATACCACCTGCTTGACCAGTTCTTCCAGCTGCAGATAGCCCTCAGTGGGGCCAGTAGGCTCATGGACACTCTGAAAATCAAACACAAAAGGTCAAATCACCTTTAAAAGATTTTGGAATAAAGCCTGGGGTCTGTCGATTCTCTGTGTGCTGGAATATCCCAACTGTGTCAGTGAAGCTTTTGGAGCTGATGGAGGTTTGGGTGCCTTTCAGGTCAATCTCCTTGTTGAAGTTACAGCCACGCCCTGTGGCCATTGAGCAGACAGATCTTTTTTCTGAGCAAGTGACAGGAAGGTACAAAATGTGCTCACACTGAGGATGTGCACAGTGCACTGCAGCAGTGACATCATGCCAGGGTGGTTCTACCAGAAAACACCTCTTTGTAGAAAAGCCTTAACACACCCTGGGCAAAGCACTGCTCTTTCCCTAGGCAGGACTGCAGGCAAAGCACCCTCTGTGGTTCAGCTCACAGCTGTGGAGATGGTAGATAACACCAACCAATTTAACAGCAATTTCAGAAACCTTTCACACTTAACTTCCTGCAAAGCCTCAATAAGCTTTTTTCCTCAAATGCGTTGCTTTGAGAATCTCTTTGCTCTCAAGAGTCTTGTATTAAAAACATTCAGGGAAATTGAGGTAGCACTTTAGTATCACCTGCTGTTCCAGTCTGGGTCACTGGAACATCAGAACAGTGAGAGTTCATACAGAACTACCAGCTTAGCCACTTTGCAATTTTGGTTGTGCCTCATAAAGTTTAATTCTCAGACACCCATTATGTTAGAGAAGATATAAAAGTCACCAGGGTGTGTGGTATGTTGGAGGGAAGGGATGCCATCAAGAGAGACTTTGAAATGCTCAATATATGGGCCTGTGCAAACCTCCTGATAATCAACAAGGTCAAATGAAAGGTCCTGCACATGGCTCAGAGGAAGGCTGGATGGAGCTCTGAACAGCCTGGTCTAGTGGAAGGTGTCCCTGCCCATGGCAGAGAGGTTGGAACTGTATGATCCCCTCCAACCCAAACCATTCTATGATTCTGTCAACTCTAACATGTAAGATGGCATTTTTCAGGACTGTCAGGCTGGGCAATATGAGAAAAAACCAAAACTGGCTGTATTTGACATGCTTGGAAAGTATTCTGTTGAGACCTGGAAAAAGAGGATAGTTACCACAGATGCTCTAGATCTCTTGGGAGAGGCCTTTGAAAGATGGCCTCTCATTTTGCCTGCTGTCAAAAGGTATTTCTCCTCTAATGGGCACTACTCAGCATCCCAGCCAGCCACGGTGCTTATGTCAAGCAACTAGAGCCACAGTCCATTCAAATTCCATTATCTGCTGTGATGAAGACTTGCCCTGTCCTTGCAAAGCTGAGAAATTATGAAAATTAGGGCACAAAGAGGCATTCAGACAAGCTAGAAGATGAAAATTTGTGTGAAAAAGGGAGTACTGACACTGTTCCTAGATGGGAAGGAGAGGTATCAAAAAAAAAAAAAACCAACAAAACCCAGCTCTTTCAAGGCAACATCTTTACCTGTTCCCAGGAAAGCTCAGGGCATCCAAATTCAGCTCTCATTTTAACACTGACCACTCCCAAATAAGCACACATCACACCCCCTTCATCACACCCTCCACTCTCCCCACTTTTCCTCCAGTGTTTGTATGATTTCAACGAGGTCAAGATAACCAAGTGAGTCAGATGAAGAAGAGCAGAGGTTCCCCACCTGCAGAATTAACAGCATCTGGACAATGGAAGCTGGAACCTTTGTCTGGACCAGGGGGAGGATTTCTTCCAACTTTACTTTTAGCAAGACCAAGTCTCTGAAGCCAAGAAGAGCAATCTGACGGATAGTTAGCTCCTGACCCTAAAAAAACAAAGGCAAAATCCAAGCGTAGATAAAAGGATGTGCGAGCATCATACCAGCACACGGGCACACAGATAGGAGGGTTTATTCTGCCCACTGCTGCGATGGCAGAACACCCCCGGTCATTCATGTTGAGGATTGATGATACTCTTTAATTTCTTCCCTCTCAGTCTCACAAATTCTGAAGTGGGCACCGTCTCATCTGTGGCACCACTAGGTTTGGAGCGAAGCCAGAAATGGGCCTGTAGTTCACCAAATTACTATGAATGTATTCATAAACCCACTTGCCATCCAATTTGTTCACAAAAAACCCCAGGCTGGATGTAGCTTGTGCTTCTGGCACTTGGAGCAAAAGCACAGAAGGTTTTGTAGGGAATGATGTTGTTTCAGAATATTTCTTAACTAAACCTACCTCTGACCTATACTGTACCCTCTTTTTGCTCAACATCTGCACTTGCTGATATGACAAAAATCTGCAAGTAATTCCATTACAGATTTTAGGATTTAGGCTGGAGCAAAGCTAGCAAGACTGCTTGAACCGAACATAATTTTAAAAAGCAACAGCTTTAATATCGTCTGCAAGGCATTCCTATTTTACATCAACAACACAAGTGAGCAGGCATAACAGATGATATAATATTTCTCAACATTTTTAAACACAGTCTAACTCCATTTGGCATTCTGGTGTTACCACCTTCCCTCTGCTATGTTTAATATCTGCATGACTTTCTCTTGCCCCAGTGCAACTCAGCAGCAGAAATTTTTCTCCCAGCTCTGCCTAGCACTTTCCAGCCTGAAAAGTTTGCTTTGTTCTTCTGAGTATGTTAATCTCTGCCCCATGGTCTGCTTGGGAATCATTTTATGATCTCCATAACATACTCATAACATAGCAAATATCTAGCACTCATAACATAGTAAATATTTAGCTAGAAGAAATTACCAGCAGGTAATCATTAATTCATAACAGGTTGCAGATCATAATTAACAGCATTATCAATATGTAAATATGAATTAAAACCAATAGCATGGAGGGGAGCTTGGCCATAAAAAAAAGCAGTTTGCTGTTTTAAACCATCACTGTGTAGGGAAAAAACGTGCAGGAAAGACCAGTACCTATCTTGAAACTATATCTCAGCAGCTGCAAACTTTTTATTTATAATATGCAGTTTAGACCCATTAACTTCATACCCCATTTCAAAATGCAAATATGTTTCTGTGCCAAGCAAAACAAGATTTGCTATTCTTTTTTCCACACCAATAGTCACATCAACAGCTGCAACTCTACGAAAGCCAGTGAGTGACCTGTTTACATAGTTTCCCTCTGCACAGCAATTTAACCAACTTGGCTGCTTAAAGGTCATATTTCTGCAAGAGCTATGAGTCTTGGGGTTAAACTTAGCTGAGATAGCAGCCACACGAGGCTGGTGTGAGTTACTACCTTTGGTAACATACACTCACACTTGTGGCTGACTCAGTTTCATTCTGAATGGGTAATTGCTGGGATCACAGAAGAGCACAACTAAAAACTCCTGCTGGTATTTGCAGGAAAGGATAGGGAATCAAGAACAAATTGACTTTCCCATCTACCAGGGCAGTGGACAAAGAACTGCAGCGTGATGGAAGGCACTCGCTGGATGAGCTCTCCTCCCATGTTGTGACACACCACATAAGTGGTTACATACAGTTCCCTTTTTCTAGGAAAAGCCCAATCTTGTTATTAGGACACTGGCCTGGCATAAGAGCAACTTCTATTTCTTGCTGCACCAGCAGTTCTCTCTGTGGTAGCCTAGAGCAGCTCACTCTGAGTTAAATTCTTGGATGTATTTAGGCAGCTTAACCTATCCATACATACAGTGTAGTACTTAGGTGCCTACAAAGCTTTAAATATCCTGTTTACCTTTCAGTTCCTCATTCAGAATGTGGCAATACTTCCCAAATTTTACAGCTTTGCTGATATATTTTGAGTGACTCAGATATTGCAACAAGACAAATACAGCTAAACAATTATGCTTTCAAAGAATCTCAACATCCCATAGTCATCCTTTCACCACTAAGTTAATTCCAAAAGCTTTACCCACAGTGTTGTAACTTCTGTCCCATTTTTCATCACAGACATTTAATAGCAGGGCAGTAGATTTTTCTGGTAAGTGGCAGAATTATTAGCATCAGTGGATATGACACAGTCATCCCACAGTTTCCACAGCACACAGGTAGCTGCTGTGCAGACAAACCCCTGCCTAAACAGGTCACTCCCTCACTGAGAGTTAGCTGCAAAAGGAGAGAAGGGGAGGGTATTATAGTTGCACAGTTTTACCTGTCAAACACCTACCTTCAAGCATCTGGAGCAAGGAAAGAACAAAAATAAACACAGTAGAAAGGTTAGTGTCTGTCTTTGTAGAAGTCCTTTCTCTTTTAGGAAATGCCAGCTTTAATAGGATTAGAGGAAAAGGGCAAGCTTTGAGCTTTACCTGCTGCCTTTCAAATAATACAAGGGAAAAATAATTTGAAAAGGCTCTGGAAATAATGTCTTCCAGAAGAGGCAAAAGTCAGGGGGAGGAGGCTAGCATTTCCAAGAACGTCATTCTCCACATGAGGTACATTTTTCTTTTTCTCTGATGGCAGAAAAGTCAAAATAGGCTGGGGAGGTAATTAGACTGCTCATATAGAAACTCTGAGTAAAACTATATTAAAAAATGATACAGCTCAACACTTCTGATGGGATACTCAGCCTTCAAAATACCCAGTGTAAAAAGGTTTTACATAAAGTGTTCATTCTTCCTCTACCCATAGACTTACATATCCCCTTACTGAAGCTTCAAAAAACCTAACTGAGGATTTCCCAAAGGCACAAATGGGATATAGCCCTTCAAAAGTCATTAGGGTGAGGTAATCACATTTTCTCCTGAGCTAGTCTTCAGATTTATACCTCTAAGACAAGCTGTCAGTGTTGTCATCTGCACCAACAGTCACAGCTATTTTAAAAAGAAGGAATGATAAATACAAATAGCCCAGAGCTTCCGTCTAGACAAGGCATAGTCCAACAGTTTCAGTGTGCAAGCTAAGCTAAGCACAGAGAGTAGACAATTGGGAATAAATTGAGCCGAAAACATTGTGCTTGTCCAGTAGATTTTAGCAGCCCTTCTTATAGTTAATACTTGAATAAACTCTACTTTCTCCAATATTTAGTTTAAAGGTTTTGACGTATATTTAGCCACTGGCCAAACAGTGCTGCTGGCAGAGAAGTTATAACCTGCCATTAGCAGGCATTGCAGTCACTTTGCTTCACCTGAGTGAACTGTAATTAGGATTACCTGGACTGGGTAGAATATTGCCTGGAGTGTAGGAAGAGTCTCTGTAAAATAGTGATCCCAGATTTCAGACAGGACGTCAATGCGATCCTCACCTGTGAAAACAGAGATCAGAGCAAGAGCTTGAGTGACAGGGACACTAAAAGCAAGTTGGGTTTTCCAAGTACTCCCTAATTCCCCAGGCAAGGGACTTCATTTCTGTAGTTTCTGCCCAAAACTGGACATCACCCAGCTAAGCTTCCCCTTAACCAACAGAGACACAAGGCTGTCTGTGCAAACATGACATCATTTGTCTGGGCAAAACATGAGCCCAATGCAAACAAAAGAGTGGAGCCCCTCTGGAACCAGAGGCCTTAACTCCACAGCCCAGGATTGTGCAATGGCAGAGTTCACAGTTAACATGCTCAACTAGCCCAGGAGGGACCACACAAAACCAGCTGAATCTGAGAACCAGCAGGTCACAGCCAACATCAGCTGATCTCCAACATCATCGTGCAACAAAGTCAGGGAGAGCATTTGGAAGAGCCGAGCCCCCTCCAGCACCCACTCAGTACCAAGCAGCAGTCAGGTACCTGTCAGGGATCCCAACAAAGGTACTAATGACAAATAAGGCACTTGTGAAGGTTCCCAAATGAAATCCACTTGTGGCCAACCCTTATATGACTAATTCAAACATCCCCAAGTGTAACTGGGTACTTAAAACCAAGGCAGACTAAGCTATGAATCTTGGGATTCCCATAATAGGAATACAGTTGTGATCAAATTATGCCCATAGGTTTGACTTACAGAGCTGGGCACTCCTCAGCATATGGGCCCAAAGCCTCTCAGTTTTTTAGCTTAAGGTTTGCAATGTTTATTTCAAGTTTAAGAGAAATCCCTGGAATCTCAGGTGCAAACAGACTCAGGGTTAAAACCACAAGCTTCTGACAAAAGGATTTTCCAGGATACCTCTCAGGACCTCAGAGGCAGTCTAGACTCAAGGAACAGTAATGGAAGATGGTCACTCATGACAGGTTTGAGGGCTCATCCTCAAGGTCACTAAAGGCCCAACATGAGGAACTGGAATACATGTAAAATCACAACTCAAAGGAGCCTTATGACTCTGTACTGAAGTGCTTTCCTCATCTGCAGACTTCCACACAGACTTTCACTCTGCTTGCCCAGCTTGTGCTGCTTAGGACACAGGCAGAGAGCAGAGAGCCAGCAGGACTAGATCCTGCAGACATTTCCCTTTGAGCAGAGAGCCAGCCCACTAGCAACCACAGAAAATTTCAGAGATGCCTCACTGTGTCAGGTATGACTATGGCTTCAAATCTGGAACTGCAGGCAGACAACAAACGACCCAAAACCCCCCCAACAGCCACCCACGACCACAACAGCCAAGTGCAAGCGAAAAAGACAACAGGAAACAGATTAATTGAATGTTTAAATTTTTCCCTTCTCTGCCTCCTACCCAGGACTACAATGCTTTGCTGTCTGGAGACACAATGAAATGTCAGAGATCACTTCTCCTTCTGAAGGGGAAGCAGGAATGGTTTGTTTCTTCAAGAAATCATAAATCCTGCAGGCATTGAAAGAGATTCTGACAGATTGTATAAAGAAAAATCACATTAAAGAGGGTGTGATTGAAAAATAGACACAGATGAAACATTGCCATGCCCTGCAGCCACTCTGTCTGGGTGCAGGGCAGTGTAAGCTTTCCAGGAAGACAGAACTAACCAAGAAGCATGTACAAGAAATCCTCATTGCTGTGACCACAAGACCTGTAACAAGCCCACACATTATAAAAGAAAGGTGCCCATGAGTCATCTCCTGCAGGGATGCCAGCCTGCACAGCAAACTGGCTCCAGTGTCACTTCAAGCTAGGGACAGAAAAATGAGGCATAGAAGGTGTTTTGCTCTCTGCCTGGGAAACTTCATCTGACCCAAACTACCTGAGCACATGCAAAATACTCTGGGGCAGCTCTCAGCTTATTACAGAGTCAAGCTCAATTTTCATAATGCTAAAGCAGACCCTGGAATAGTTTTATATGAGTACAGAAACCAAAGCCTCTGGTAGGCTGTGCAGCATTCATTCTGAAGAGCTGGCAGTGGCAGGGCAGGTACCCACATCTGGAAATGCAGGAGTCTGCCTTTTTCCCATATCTTGGAAAATACAGGAGTCTGCCCTTTTTCCTCCCTCACAGGGTCAATGCTGAGGAAGCACACCCCAAGCAGGAGGCTGGCAACCCCTTAACTCCTTTGGGGCCCAAATCCTACAGCCTGCCAGCTGGGTGAGGTCACTTGGTGAAGACTGGTGCAGAGGAATCCAGGCCCAGCAATGACGTGAGATTATAAGCATCTTTTGGCATTTAATGACCCACATACAACACTCTGGTGATTAGCAAGAGATCTTCCCTGCAGGCTAAAAAACTGGGTCAAACCAAACAGCAGCTTGGTTTTGAATAAAGATGTGCTGGCTTCGCTTGAGCACACAGTTTCTGAATGTGAGCAGCTCCCCACAGGTCCAGCGCTGAGTGGCCACACCACACTTGCCTTGGCCCACAGGCTCTGCAGCAGTAGTTTGAACACAGCTCCATATGTGATCAACTTCTTTCCTGAAGGATTTCATTCTCACCCAAAAGACTGTTCTTTTCTTTAAATTTACACAAGGAATGATAGTTCAGCTCTCAAAGGCATGACAGAGAAACCAAAATAATGCTTACATCAAGCTGCAAATCACATTGAGAAGTGAAAGGCAGAAGGCAGCTCCAAGCAGTTTCACAACAGGATCCATGTCCAGACCAGAACTGCCATGAGCCCAGGTTCAGCTGCCACATGAGAGCCACATTGCTGTTTTTGTGGTGCAGTTATGGCTGGTGGGAGCGTCGTGGCTCTGGGGCAATTCAAACAGCCCTCCCTCTCTTCAGCCCCACAGGGCTGCCAAGGGGCTGTGTGACACCCCAGGACAGCACCAGACAGGGCTGTTTGCTTTCCAGACATGCAAATCGTCTCATCTGACCAAACATCAAAGCACAACTCCCTTCCAGAACAGGTTTCCTACTATACTTACCTTCACACAGCTTGACCCTCTCCTCCATGAACAGCAAACCTTTCGCAAGGAGCTGGTTCTGCCAAGGGAAAAGAGAGATATGCATTTGCCTTTTATTTATTTATAATGAACATGGAAGAATTCACTTTTGTCAGATACTACCCACTCTGCATGCATTAATCTTAAGATTAGTCATGTTGCAGTGACTTCTTCCAGCACTGGTCTCAGTGTGAGTGCTAGGCATTCTTTAACCCCTTCTTGTTCAGCTAGACATGAGAATGCAACAGAAGAGAATGAAACATCTCCCAGAAATGGAAAGGGTCACAGGGAGGGAGTCAAGAAAATAAAATAGTTCTTACCATAATGGTGCACCCACATAAGCTATAACTCAATTACAGGATGGAGGTGATCAAAGAGTCAAATGCTATGAAAATGTCCCACTCTTTTCTTCTTTTCTGCACTTGCTTTTTGCACTTGCTTGTCTAACTGCACAGTAGGCCAAGTTCAGCTCCTAGCATCCACTTCTCTATTCCTACCTATGGTCTTTCCATGAGGCCATTCTTTTTGTATTGAGAAGTTGGATCATCTCAGTGTGCAGCGTCAAGCTGCAGAAGTGGCAGGACCTTGTCTTTCTAGATAAACTTAACTCTCATGGACCAGACAGATCAAGATATCAATAAGCCTGTTCAGGACATCCAAATACCTGATTAGCTTTTTGTTCCAACTTCCCCAAACAGAAGAATGGTGCAAAAACAACAGCTATCTTTTTGTTCTCCCAACAGCACCAGGTGAATCAGTTATTCTGAAAAGCTTTGAGAATGCCAGAGAAAGGCATTGCAATCCCACATAACACACTATTACTGCATCCTAAAAAAGGTACAGAGATCACACTTATAGAGAACATAGGCCTTCTGCCTCCCCAAAAGGATTCAGTATCAGGGTAGCCCACAACAGTCAGAGATGACTCCCCCACTGTTCAGTCTCTGGTTTTAATGGGAACCAGGTCAAGGCTGCACTTTGGAACCTTCCACCAGCCAAGGAGCAAGGCACATCCCTGTCATTCCCAGTGCACACTGCTGTTACCCCACTGCCTGGACACCACCACAGCCTCCTGATGAGCTGCCTTAGTGCATCCTGCTCTGCACTGCAAACCTGCCTCTGGAACCACACACCAGCCTGGCTCACCCTGACACGGAAACAGGCATCCGTGGAACACCCCAAGCCAAGAGAGCAGCACACCTCTGCATCCTCCCTTCAACAGGAAGCTATCACAAAGCTGGGTATAAAAAGAGGAAACAATCCTCTGTGACATTCTCAGGCTGGGAGATGTTTTTCGCTTGGGCAATGACAACAGGAATTAACAAGCTGGATAAATATGGTCACATAATGAAAAAAAACCTACAACATTTCCAAACATTAGCAATGAGTGGAAGGTGACAGTTTTATGAAGATCCTCTAGCAGAAATATGGGCTTTGGAGGGAAATACTAAGTTGCCAGGCTGTCCATTCAAATTTTACATTTGTTCAACAGAAATAAATGGCTACACATAACCTGATCTGGACAACAACAAAAAAACTTTCCAGGAAAAACCAACAGTGTGAAAAAGGAGGGAGAAAGAAATCTGTAATGAAGAAAACCATAAGGGGAAAAAAGTGAAACCCAATTACACTAGAAATATTTTTCTGCTTGAACAATAGATGTTGGAGTGATATGGCATGTTAATCCTGCTTTCAGTTCGTTAAAAAAAGTACTGAACTTCTTTATTTTTCAACCTGTAGCTCAAGGCAATTCTCATATACTGCAGGGGAAATTTACAGCTGGTCTTTAATACTGTATTAGTTTAAACTACTTTATAATATAAAGGTGTGTATATATATACACACATATGAGGATGTGATGTTTATTTTCTTGTGTTTCTCTCAAGAAATATGAATTCCTTCTCTATCTGCCGTAGAACGTTAGATTTCACTTTATGTATGTTTCCCACTCTGGATACAATTTTCCAGATACTTTGCCTAAAAGTTAATAATATTGATATTTTTTGCTTCCAGGGAGGATTGTTTTTTCTTTTGCAACTATGTCAGCAACCAAAGAACACATTTGTACATGCTAATGAACAGCACAGCTGTATCTATTGCAAAATAGATATATTAATCATTACTCTGTGGTAACAAATTTATAATGCCCCTATGAATGTATTTTAGCAATTCCATGTGCTAAAGAGATTGCATAATCTCACTCGAAAGGTTTCCTTTAAAAAGAGATTAGGGCTATATAGTTACTGTAGTTACTGCAGACTTTTTACTTATCCTCTCAGATTTTTCCTTTTCCTTGGAAGAGACTTAAAAAAAAAAAAAAAAGTAAAATCAACCCACACTTTATTTCCCTTCTCCCTGTCCTGAAAGTATCTGGCAATGTTACTTCTCCTTCTCTTCTGCAAGAAGTCACAGGCTTAGAAATTGATTCAATCCAAGCATTAATCCCTCAGAGCAAGCCAGACAGGCAAACTGTCATTACCAAACCCCACAGGCTCCGCTGACAAATCAATACAAGCTACTCCAGCTGCAGTGGAGGTCTGTTTCAGACCTGGTCTAGATTACAAGTCTCATTTTGCTGCTGCTTCCCTGCTTGCCAGAAGCACACAGCTAAGAGGAAAAATAAATCTTCTATTTAAAGCGAGACCAGATAAAGACTCATACCAAGTAACCTTGAAAGGTACATTTATTTGAAAAAGTTCAGCTGCCACCTTCCATCTCTCTGCAATTACAGCTGAACAGGGATGGGAGCTTGGGGGAGCAGGGATTCCCTTCCCTCCCCAAATGAGCTTTTCCTGGTTTCCCAGGGTGTTTTCCTCACCCTCTGCTGGGACACCATGGGATGCTGCATGCTCACTGAGGGAGGCACAAACCTGCCTTTACTCTTTGCATTCTCTGCTGTGCAGAGAAACAAACTCCCAGCTTCAAAACATGTACGTGCAGTTGAGAAATCTGGAGAGAGATTTTGCAGCAGATAGAAGTGACCTTGTGAAATCTCACAGCCTGATTCCTTTTCTGAGAGCAGTAAACCAAAATAGCTGACTCAGATACACCAGTAAGAAGGGCAGCTAAAAGAAAGCTCTCAAGTAAATTTTTAAATGTCTTAAGTTTTTAAAGACAGGATTGAAAGTGAAAATAATCAGTTTTCATTTGTTCCTCAGTAAAGAGACTCTCACAACATATCTGTGATTGCTACTCCTTAAAGTAAGTCATCCTCAAACCATTTGGAATAAAAAAAAAATTTAAAGGCAGTCAGCCACCACCTTATAAAACCCACACACTTTCCTGATAATTCCTTCCTTTTTTCTGGCACAGATATTTTCGTCTTTCCCTTCCCTGTTAGAGAAATTGAGGCAAATTTCTCCATGCGCGCCCAATGCAGTAATACCAGTGCCACCATCCTCCCAGAAGGTGAAAGCTGTCCCAGGCACAACAGCTGGGGCTCCTCTCTCAAAGCAGCAGAGCCTGCAGCACCTTCTCCCTCCCTCCCTCCCTGCCACGGCAGGATCTGGGCATTCCCAGCGGGGCCCCTCCTGTGCACAGCCCCAGCACACCCTGGGCAGAACGGTGCCCTCGGACTGTGCCTGAGGCAGATCAGACGCTGCCTGTCAGAAGCACGCAGTCAGCACCATGGGTGTGGTGCCAGCCCCCAGACAGAGCCAACAGGAAGGATTTGGGGTGACAGCCCCGCCACCAGCACAGCTTGCTCTGCTGTGAGTGCTACATGCAAGCAGAAGCCTGGTGGAAAACAGCCGAGCAGCTTTGGCTGCAGCTCCACAGAAATCATCAAGGAGGCTCAAGCCATCCCAGGCAACTTCACATCTTGCCTGAATGCCATGTCTGCAGTACAGCAAAGTACAAATGAATCCCCCTGCTAATAACAAGTCAGTCATTACCTTTGAGGGAAAAAGGCTTACACAAACGTCCATGTAATTACGGATAAATTCTGCTTTCCCTTAATGTCTCCAAGCCAAACATGGCTAGTATGCCTTTCAAAAGCCACCTTCATATTAACAAATTAATATTAGTTTATCAAACAACATAAGCTTGAAACAGAAGTAAACTGATCCAGAACATACTCAAATTAATTGACCTCATTTTGCTGGGTGGAAAAAAAATTTTTCTACAGAATACTACTGCATTTCTTAAATGCACCCTGTTTTACAGGCAGCTGAGGCTTTGTGTTCTAGTGCTAAACCACACTTTTACAGGCTCTACAAGCACATAGCCACTGCTTTGTGGATAATCTGATGTAAATTTGAGAGAAGCATCACTCAAACTTACTTGGCAAGTATTTTCTACAAAGTTATTGCCAGCTGCACACAAACCTAATTCTTGGCAGTGTTTCACAAAATACAAATTTGTGTGAGCTGCAGTATCTCATATCTAGAGCATCCTCCCACCCCCATCTTTTTTTCTTTAACAAGAGGGGAAATACTGACAGAAGCAGAGAGATCACTTCGATCCCACATAGGGGAGAAACTGCAAGATAAATATGAAATCACATCCTAAAATGACTCTTCCTAGAGCTGGTTTTGTTCACAACAGATAAAAAAGAAAGCCCACTTGAAGAGATGAAAGTGAGGCAAGGAGGGTAAGAAGTGGAGCAGAGCAGGCAGACCAAGTAGGCAGCACTGCTACGATCCAGACCACAGCGAGGCAGGGAGCAGCTCTGGGAAAACCCCACAGCCAGGGCCCCTGAATTCACCCTGATTATCCCTGCTCCAGGGGGGATCCTGCTCAGCCAGGCCATGGCATCCTGGCCATGCTCTGAGTGGGAGCAACCTGGCTCCCTTTGGAAGGACTCGCACACACCTACAGAGTGCTGGGGCCTGAAAGGAGGCGTCCCTGCTGCCACCCAGGCCTAGTGCTGAGCTGCCGGGGGATTCCATCCACGATAACGAACCTGGGCAGTTGCCATAGAGCCTCTGGAGCTGCTCCATCAAAGCTGCTCCAGAAAGTGCCAGATGAAGCAGAAATAATTAGCAGACCTGCAAGAACAGAGGTTCCCAGACAAATACAACAATAAAGACCAGCTTGACCCAAAAGAGTATAGCAGACACACAGCTGAGCTCTGCAAATCACACAAGTGTGAATTCTGTTCCTTGTGCAGCAGCTGACCTGCTGCAGGCCGTGGCAGCAGGCACAAGACAGCACTTGGCTAGATGGTTACTCCTGGTGCTGTATCCAGAAGTAACCATCTCTGCAATAGCCTACACAATTATTTCCTTGCCTTGCTGTGAAACAGGTAGACACAGAAACCTGTCATCAAGGAAGGATGCATCACACCCCCTGTATTTTTCTCTTTAGCTAAGCAGCCACATGGCCTTTTCAGCTATTAGCTACGCTTCACAAAGCAGCCTTTCAAAGGAGCAAGCAAACATCGTGAGAGATGCTGGAGTCATCTCTCCAGGCTGGAGTTCCAGGAAAACATGCAGTGGGGACCTTAAAAAAAATCTTTATGGTGCCACAAGAGAGGGACGAGAGCAGGTTTCCCCCTATCACTGCAGCCACCGTGCACAGCTGTGGAGCCTACAGCGAGAGAAACTCTGACCACAGAAAGGTTCACCAGCACCACTACTGACTGCTCTAAAGGCAGAGATAAAACCAGTTTTGGTTTGGACCCAGGCTCGCCTCATTGCTGACACCACTTGCTTTTCAGCTATTTATTATCCTCTTGCTGCCTGGACTTTGCTTGACACCTCAGCAGTGTGCGCTCTCACACGCTGCAGCTTCGCACGAACAGCAAGCTGCGTCTAATTCTGAGTCAGGACTTGCGGGCGCCTCTCCACTGCAGCGGGCTGGAAATTATGTAACACCTTGCCTCTGGTTTTGAGACATCAAAAATCTTATTGGATTAGATATGAGGAAACATAGTCCACTTGCCATTCCTCACCTACCAGCTCTGCCAGCTCGGGGAGTGGGCATCAGGCATCAGCTCTGGACATTTGACTTTCTGCATTTGCAGCCTATGGGTTCTGGGAGAGGATACAGTGCCTGGGAAGGGAACAGGTCTCTCTGCCTTGGGAGGAGACGGTTTGGAGTTAATAGACACAAATGCATTTCCATTTTGTCCCCCATGAGTTTCAAGATTAACATGCCCATACAGAGTGAAAAGACACGATTCATCCCTTCCAGAGGTTTTGTTTCAGGCTGTTGAAGAATGAGGCAGATAATGCATCAATTTATCAACGCTTGCTGATTTTATATTTAAAATTTTTTCTCCACCAAAACAAGGGCCAGACAGTAAGAAAATGAAGGGAGCTTATCTGAAAAATCACACAGCTCCACCAGAGAAATCCCAATTGCCAGTACACCCTGTTCCTCCAAATCCCAGCCTCTTACCTTCCATGGTCATAAGATTTCCACCTATTGCAGTTCTGCTGACCACCAACAAAGTAACCCAGCAGTGAGAGCAAATGGTGCCCTGCTGGGTTATTGAGCAGAGATGTAGGTACAAATGCCCCTCTTCAGGAAATTCTAGAATCAGTTCATGGGCAAAGTCAGTCCTGAAAAACCTGAGCATGAAGCACTGCTTTAGCAAGATCTGCAGCAAATGCTGCAAGTCCCAACTATCTGGCATTTTCCCTCAGGCTTCAATCCAAGGAGAGGGGTTGTATATACAGTAGGATTGCTAAAGCGGCAGATTTATAAACACAACTTTCCTTCAGAATGAAACATCTGAGTTTGCACTGCAGCCCTTATGGGAATTATATTTCTCTTTCAAAGACAAAACAGACTCATTAACTCTGGTATGATGATGGCTTGGTAGCAGAAAAAGACTGCGTAAACTCCAACCATTTCCTAAACATTCCTTTAGCAATTTCAGGAGCTAAAAACTGTTAATTTGCATGAGTGCTGATGAAAAGGACTTGTGAGTAATTAAGTCAAGTTGATCACAAAGGTAGCTTTGTCTCACTATAAAAGCTCTGTTCCATTTTAGTCTTGAATATTCAATGCTTATAAAAATGTGCATGTGTGAGTGTATAAAATTTACATAATGTAAAATCCCCAACTCTTAAAACAAATGTGATTTTAAAGTTCCTCTTAGTGGCTCCAGTTATAAGTGCCACGGCATAAGATATGGAAAACGTTCAAGTCAGTTCATCACATCTAAATATTACATGATCTCGTTAGTTGCTCTAATTGCTGCTAGGATATTTAAAACTGCCTGGCTACACAGAGAGCATATTCTTCAGGGTCCATTTCAGTGCAGGAGGACAGAAAACGTGCTTCTTGGTATAGTTTTCAGTGGGCTTTAACAGATGTCAGAGGAAGTCACTGCCAAAAGATGCACTTCCACTCCGCTCCGCATCCTGGCGACCCACTCCCAGCACCTCCCCCATGTCAGAGGTGATGACCACAACACGTCAAAGGAAGTAGTTGGAAACATTGGTTTTTTTCTTTCAAGGTTATTTTTCAGCCAAATCAGCAGCTTGATTCAACTCCGCTCATCTTGGTGGCAGCGGTACTGCCATAATTCAGCTGGCATCAGCAGTGAAACAGAACCCACAGACAAATGAAATAATGCTGTCAGCCCTTCTTTGGCACATGAACAGTCTTTCCCCACTCCGTGGCCCTAGGATTTCTCAGGAAAACGGATTTCTGAGGAAAGACATTCAGGAGGGAGTGGTAACTTTTATCATGGCCATACACCATTAGTCTAGAATCAGAAATAAATCTGCATCTTACCTCACAGAGGGAAAAACCTCACTTCCAACAATAGCCTTTATCTCACACTTTGTCCCACAACTTGCCTGCACCAAGAGTTTTACCTCAGGCTAAGTCTGACAGATGCCAAGTAGCTCCTTTTGACACTGAGCAAAAATACCCCAGAAATTAAATGTGAGTGCTGGTGGCTGCCACCCCACTCAGGGTCTAGGAAACATCCTGCCTTGTGCTGCCAGCAGCTGCCTCTGCAGTAAACAACTTGTGCACAGAGGGGCTGGGGAAGTGAAACACAACTGCCCCTGGGGCAGGAGTTTTCTTCTCACTTGATAGCACAGCAGGGGGATTTTTTAAAGGCATGTAATCTAATAAATCACGTAATCTGATAGGAAACAACACTAGTCTTTTTCCTCTTTCAAGCTGTTAGCACGCACACAGCAGCATCAGCTGCTTCAGAAAGTACAGAAATTTTCTCTCCCTTACTCAAAGGGAAGAAAACCCTCTTGTTTCCAGCAGCCCTTTTTTTTTTTTTAACAGTCAACAAATTAAACTGAACAAATTAAAACACTGAAAACCATCAGTACCTTCTAAAAATCATCCAGCAGGCTTTCACACGGTTACATAAGAACCTCTGCCTATCTGACCAGTGTCAATAAAACACAGCAACACTTATTCACATTTGTGATTGTTCAGGTCTGTCATGGTTACTTCATCTTGCACATTTTCCTTTTTCAGAAACTGCGTTTATATTTGTGGGACTAAAAGGCAAACAGCACCCAGGTTGATTTCCTGCTGATAGAAACTTCCTTCTCTTTGCCCCCTCCTGCCTCCAGGCAGTTGTCATTATCTCTCCTCTTTCCCTTTGCTGGCCCCTGTTGCAGAAAACCTTTTGATTTTTCTACACTCCAGAAAAGGCATCCCATCTTCTTTAAAAACTTCAAGTGAATTCCTTGTTGATCTTGGCAGGCTACTAGCAGCATTTCTTAAGTGCAAAGGAAGATTATCCTTAATTCTACACTCACATTGATAAAAATATTTACTCCCAGGGCTATATGGCCCACATCTTAAAAGTCCAGTACCTCCATCATCTTCCTCAGTAAAACAAAAACAAAACTTGTAGGCTACACACATGTAAAAAGGGATCCTAGTTTTGTTATAGGCTAAAAAGCTGAAGGGAGCAGACTTCAAAATAAAGCAAGCAAGTCATGCAATACCTGAAAGTAATCTGTGATGAAGGATCCAAGTTCACTCTTCAGCAGCCGTCTGTAGACAGAAGGAATGGAGCCATGAAGTAGCAGCCACTGCTGGTCATTTCTTACAGCTATATCTGCACTTTACTACCAGGCATACCAAAGATATAGCAATGTACGGGAATGGGTCCTTTTGGACACAGTTTTCTCTTACATATGTATTTTACAAAGGCTATTCTCAAATTATAAAGGAATTAAACAGTTTCTCTGAAGTCTTCGATATTATAAACCATACACCTAGAACAAGCGAAAAAAGAAATCACCTCCCTGAATGAACAGAAAGCTGGGAAGAAAATCTGGAGTTATTTAGATTGAAATCCATAATTTTTTCTGCTTTCTTGTTTAAACAAAGATGCCTTTCATGTCATTGAAGACAGCATATCTCCCTAATATTGTACTTCCTTTTCTTTTGGAAGTAGAAGGAGAGGAGAAATGAAACAGAAGCTGCACCCACATTTTAACTGCCACATTTCAAACAATAAGAAACAAGGCATATTTTCCAAGGAAGAAATTCTAGAAACTTAACAAGACGTGTTTTAAATACATACAGGCAAACACCACTCTAAAGAAGTCTTTCTGATGAAAATTGTTGGCTTTTAAATTAGGCCACGATAAAAGCTTTAAATTCTAATACATATTTGTGTTTTTAAAAAAAATATATAAAAATCAGGATTGTTTTACATCAGAGGCAGTATCAAAAAAACAACTCGGGATATTCAGTGCATTTGCACTTTAAGCTTTCAGTGATTGAGAATAAATTCTGTAGCAGTAAATTCTGCCTAAAATTTAAAGGCTGCCCAACATTTTCCAATGCCAAACACTGCAATTTATTTTCTGTTCTAGTAGTGTTGCTTTTTACCAATGTAAAGTACAGTCAAGAGTTCTTGAAAACAGCATTTGAATCAGCAACCATCCAGTTCTTAGGCTGGGTTTTTACCACCAAACTATGCCACTTTACCTCATCTCTGTTCAAAGTCAAATTTGACAGCCTTCCTCTCTAACCACTTTACAATGCTTCTGCATTTATTTGCATGCCAATATGCCTTTACTCTTTCTCTCTCTGAGTGTTTGTATTCACGCGCCCAAATCAAAGCCCATGTCTATATCTATGAGATCAATAAATCAGGTAAGTCTTTGGGGACTGATTTGTCAGAAGCTTTTCCACTGGCTTCAGCCAATCCAGCAGGCTCTCCACCTGACCTGACAAGCCCAGTGGGATTTGGCTTCATGCAGGTAAGACCAGCAACCAGACACTTGCACCTTAGGAAAAAAATCAAGGGAGGGGTCTCTTCCTAAGCATGGCCAGGTCATCTCCCACTTACAGAAATTCTATTTACCAAAGGCATTTATTACATTTCCTCTTGCTGTGACAACTGACTTTCAGAGCAGGTAAAAAAAAATTAAAATTTGCCAGTGAGATGGTATCAAATCACAGCAAGATAAAATCTAGGTGGCAGCCATCCAGAACAAAATGTTACCACCTGCTCATCTCCTGGTCCTGTCATTACCATCCTCCTTTAAAACTGTCCCATGTTTCCCCTCTGCCAAATGATGAAACACTGCAGAACCCGAGAGCCTCTCACTGCATTTGCAAACTACAGCCCAGGAGCTGAGTGGAGAACTACAAACAGGGGCAAGGAAAATGCACCAGCTCAACTTCATGGCCCACAAGAGTCGTCTGTCTCAGAGGTCTGGCTTTTCTCCAGTGTCAAGCTAGGGATTCCCCTTGTGCACAGAGCTCACCCTGTGCTGGGAGCTCCATCCAGAACCACAGGTGTGAGGCTGCAGGTGTTCATGCAGACACATGCAGAGGCCTGTCCTTTGCTCCTTAGATGGGCATTAATGTGGATCTGAAATGGTCTATTTAAAGAGTGACATTTGGAGATGTAACCAATGCTCAGGGCACCTGCAGGAACATTAATCATGTAATTCAAGGTGAGTGCTTCCAAGTACAGCCTGGCAGTGCATGTCTGTGAAAAAGGGCATTTCCCCTCCCACCATGAGCACTGCCCTCAAAGCACACATAGTACATAAAGAATTTCCTGTTCTTTGCCTGGTTTTCACCACTCTGCGCTCGCTTCAGCAACCAGCATGAAGAGAGCATGGTCCAGCCTCTGGGGCCAAGCCCAGACCCCACAGCAGTTCTGCCTCCCTGGAAGGGTGGGAATGAGCACCTGCTTGCACTTCAGGGGAAAGCAGGATGCAGCCACTGCCATGGGCAACAGACGAGTCACAAAGCCCAAAGCCACTCCCCAAGTCTGCTAACAAGCTGGGGCTTTAGGTATTTCCCAAGCCTTATGACATCTGGTTTTATTTTCTTGTCCACAAATACTCATCCTGTGGAGAATTAAGACTGCTCCAAGTGCTTAAACCTAACTTGAAGACTTCTGACCTGAACACAGTAAAATATCATTAAAGTGCAAGATGCTGCCCTTGCTCAACTCTCAAAAGGAATTATATTAAACTTTTTGGGTTTGGGACTAGACCAAATTGGACAGAGTCTCCTGCCCTGATAGCTGCATTTATTTTGAAAGTGGGGAAAGGGGTAGTTTAGACTGCTGTTTAGTACATACTTAGCTCAAACTGTCATTTGAATCTTTTGGAGCTCAAAAAAATGCAATAGGAATGAGGGGAGGGCATACAAAAGAAGTAGTAGAGACATGTGTGACAGCACTCTTGATGAATTAATATGGATGCACTGGTAAACAGAGGAGGAGGAACCTACATCCATTAGCCCTGACAATACTTCTCTCAGCAGCACTTGGAAACCAAGGCAAGAATAAATAGTTCTTTATCTACTCCACAGTCCTATCTATTGCTAATCAAACTTTCCAACTAATCAGAATGAAACCACAGATAATCATGAAACATGCTTTTAAAAGAAAACGATACTTTTAACCATCACTAGCATCACTGACAAAAAATGTTAGCTAGGTTTTTAGTTGTTTTTATCTTTATTGTTCATATTTTCAGGTTTTGCTCTGCAATTATCATGTGAAGATTAAGCCTTTAAACAAAATGCTGTGGGTTTGCTTTAAACACTCCACAGTTCTGAGAAGTTTGGTTTAAGAAAAGAGATGCCAATATTATTATGTATAAAACACATTCAAAAGAGGTAGAGCTCCTAGGAGGGAACAAAATCCTTATAATCCAAGCCAATACACAACCTGTCCTTATCAAAGTACACAAGCTGGAGAAAAATTATCCAAATTATCCCATGCCATTCATGTCACTCGATAGCAAGAAAGAAGTAACTTAGCCAGAAATCCCAAAGATGTGCTTAAATTTGCTTTCATCCCTTCTCCTCCCACCAATACCTTTTAACTGTGGTTCTGAAGGCAACAGATCCCAGCTAATACCAAGCAAGCAGCAACAAAAATCCACTTTCATGCATTTCAGCAACCTACCTGATATTTTCATTGAGAGTGTAAAGTTCATTGTTCTGCAATCCTCCCCCTTTGAACACATTTATCACTGCTGTTTGTACACTGCCAAAAACAGAAATGAGACAGGACAACATCCATGACTAACAGTGTGATTTACCACACAGCACACCATGAACAAGGCACCAAAAGCAGAGAGATTACAACCAGGTGGAGATAATTGCCCTGAAATAGTTCCACTCTTTCTCACCTTGAAATTGTTACTTTTAATTACCTACATCTGCCCTGGGAGACAGAGCAGGACCAACCTCAAGTTCTGCATAGGGTAAGCAAGGGAAAGTTGTCACATGGGTCCTGCTCGTGCCAGATGTCTCTTGAACACAACAGTTTGGGGGATCTTTGCTGGGTGCTGCAGGCTAGTTGCTATGAGGAGACATAGGATTTTTGGTCATATCTGCCAAACACATCACACTGCGTTATCCAGTGATCCTGCCATGAGCCACCCACACTGCAGCATCTGGCAAGACCCTGGCCATGCTGGAGATGTTCTGCAGCCAGCATCACCTCAGTCAGATCCCAGTTTGAGCACTGTTAATGCTTGTAAGATGCTGCTGGAGTATCTTCTAATTCTCTCATCAGCACAGAAGAAGTAATAAAGTGACAGCAGACAAGAAGGTTTAGCAGTTCTAAATCTTGCCGTGGCTAACAAGGGCATATGTCATTCACTAAGCAGACATTCCTTTCTGTGGGCTAGTTATGGCATCTGCATGCTTCACAGACCTCAGCTCACTATCATGGCACAAAACTGCAGTGTTTTTGCCAGGCTACTTTTCTGTGACATTGGTAAACTGAGCTAGGTCAGCAAGCAAGAACAGTCTGCAGAGCACAGAGCTGGTGCCATGTGGCAGACGGGAAGGTGGGAACACCCATTTCTGGTAGCAGCAAACCATTACAGCAGATCAAGACACAGGACTCTTTACCTTTCACACTGTTTTTCCAGTTGCCATTGCTGCATGACACACACAGCAGACAAGATTTAGCTATCAGTAGGAAATGCTGATTGAAGCCACGAACTTAGTAGTTGTCAGAGGAACTTGACTGTGATAAAAGCTTCATAATATACATGCCTTTGTGAATTAATAAACTGGCATTTATTACAGTACTAGGATTATGTTTTCCTAAATGGTACATAAAAGATGCAACTGTTTACAAAAAGCAATTTTGCTTTTCAGGACAGTATGGCTGAAAAACAACTGAGCACTAGTAGGTCTAAATTTTTCATCTCCACAGATGCTTTCAATGCCAGCAAAGCCTGGACATGCCAAAAATTTGTGCATGCTTAAAAACAGATGAGCTTAGTCTTAAATGGTGTGAGGCACAAGCGTAAGATACACGTAACCCTCGCTGAGGAGCTGCTGCAGGGCGAGAGCCCAGGCAGGGGGGTGCTGCTGACCTGTTCCAGGCAGAGTTGGAGCTGAGCTGCATGGCCTGCCGGGCGGCCTGGAAGCGAGGCAGATCGCTGAGCACAGGGGAGCTCATGAAGCGCGGCCGGGGCCTTCTGAACGAGCCCATCCTGTGGAACTGCAGCGCCAAGGACAGAGCTACGGTGAACCCTCCTTTCATAGGGTCAGGTGCAGCGGAGCAGGACCATCAGAAAGGCTCTTCTCTCCAAGGTTCAAGCATCAATCTCAGCAATGTCCATGAGTCGTCAAGCCCAAGGACTCAGCCAAAACCGAAGGGTCAGCCCTGGACTAGCAATTCCCCACCGTGCCAGGCTGTGACATGCGCTGCATGATGAAGGAACTGAAGCAGTCCTGCAATGCAAAGAGAAAAGAAAAGAGTAAGGAACAGAAGGGAGAGATGAAAATATCCTGTGCCATTAACAGCAGCTTTGGAAAGACTCTGGAATTCCAGAGTTCTTCAAGAGCCCTATTTCCCATCTTGCCCCTTAAACAATGACCCAAAAGGGCCAGTCAGAAATGCAAGCATGGTCTCTCTTTTAGCTTCAATTAGCAGAGCTGCAAGAGGCCTCAACTCTTCTGCCAGAGGCACTTGAAAATACCTTTAAATACAGTTAGCCACTCAGCTTGTATATAAAATAGTAGAACTGGAGAAAGAGAAAACTATTCAATTAGAGAGGTACAAAAGCTGAACAACAGAAAAAAAGATGAATAGACTAACACAGTGCTTTTTTTTGAGAAGTGTTGTGCAAGGGAATAAACCCACTTGCTATCAGTTCACTACAACAAGAATATAATAAGGAGCTTCTTCAAAAGAGTTCTAACATGCAGATATTTTGAGCATGAGCAGGGCTTTTATGTTTCTGGTTTTTCTACAGCATGAGAAGTAATTGCTAGGCCAATTACGAAATGCCCGTATTTTCCACTCTGATCACCATCTCCGTGTAGATGACTGTGTAGCCCCAAGTAAACCACAGAAATAGAAGAAGCGAGCTTGAATAAAAGCCACAAAAAAAACTTTGGCAAAGCTTCTGTACTTTGAAATCCTCCCACTTTAGATGAATACAAGCAATAGATGTAGTTGGCAGTTTTGAGAATGAGATGTGGGACACAGGAGAGCAGAGGGGAAAAGAAACAAACAATAGAGTTGTGTAACTGAACTGCAGATGAAAGATGTAAAGCAAAACCTCTTTTCTACTACATCTACAGCACGAGGTGAAAAGAGAGATGGTCAGACAAAAACAATGCTATGTGTCTGCACTAATTTGACTGGTGTGCAGCCCCAGGAAAATCTTTCCACTGCCCAAACTATAATTAACTCTTACATATAAGAAAACAGCTTTCTTCCCACCTGGCCAGCCCCATTTTATGCTGAGCTCACTTTGCTACCCCAGTCCTGCACAGCCTTGGCAGATTCTGATCAATCACCATGAAGCCTTTGCAAGGCCTTTGCTGTGCCATGGACACCCCATGCCCTGCCAATGAGGAAGCTAATGGAGAAAACACTCCACTTTTTAGGCACTGCAACACACAGTACTATCATTCTTGGTGCTACTCAAGAAATAAATACCATTGTTTTACCCTCACAAGCTAAATACAGTTTGCAGAGATCTCTAAGGAACTGGAACATGGGTACAAGTGCAACTTTTTCCTGCCTTTAGATAGCTCCTGGCTGTCTTCAGAGACGACAAAGCCCAGACAGTCTTTTGTGACATAAGCTTAGCCCTAACTGTTGTTGCTTGAAAGGGCAGGAGTCAGTTGATTCTTTGCCTGCTCTGTTACAATTAAAATAAAAACAAAAACAAAGTCATAACTTTTAGATAGTAAGACTAAATGTAAACTAGTACAACCACATCAGCAGGATCTTTTGTGTGCATTTTGCAGCACCAGTTTATTTGACATTGCCCAGACATTTTCAATCTGCCAGCAATTTCTCCATTGACAACTGTAACCACATCAGAAAGCACCAGAGGAAAAGCTACAGCACCTTGGAGAGCCGAGGCAGGTTCTTTTCATAGCAGACCAAAGGGCGGCCACAAGGCAAAGCCCAAGTATAGAGGCTGCTTCTGTTGCAAAACAAGAGCTCCTGCCAATGTTTGTCTACAAGTTCCAAAGCTGACAGCATGAGGAGCTGAATGAGTGACAGATCACTTCTCCCGGCAGCACTGTAAAAATTCTCACTTAACAATCTTTAAACATAGAAACACAAAATTATTTGGGTTGGAAGAGACCTTAGAGACCATCTGGTTCCAGCCCCCCTGCCACAGGCAGAGACACCTTTCACTTTCAGAGGTATAAAATGCAATATAAGCATTATTTCTAGCAGGCATTTAACAGGGCTAGAAAGCAGTGGTTAAGATGTGCTAACCCACAAGCCTCCTCTTACCACTGCCCCAGGTGCCACAAAGGCATGCAAGCACCCTTCTCCCCAACAATGAAATCATTTTATAGGATGCATTCACATTCATTTGAATTAAATTAAGTTGCAAGGGGAAAGCTTAAATTCAGAAATGTAAAACAATGTAACAACCTCTGTGCCTTAACATATATAAATTCAGGTATGGGTAGGAAATTCTTTGGCCTGTTCTGTGCAAACAGTAAAACAGCACGATGAGGAAGGTCTCTTCTGAGCTTGGGCTAGGGATTTACAAGACTGATTCCACACAGCAGAACCATTGCATTACAGAACCATGGCATTACACTGGGCCCCATGATGAATTTCCTGAGCACTACTTGCCTAGAGAATGTGCTTAAACTCATTGAAACATACATGCTGTTTTCCTTAATCTCTGTTAAAAGTCACCAGGACAGATAAAAACAAGCTCTTGCCTGGGAAGAGCAGATAAGACACCCCAACCCTTCCTTTCCCAACCCAGCCTGCAATCTGTGTTACTGTCAAGTCAACCTTACTTTAGAATCTCATTGGGAATTTAAAGCAAGATCTTCGGCTTTAGGACTTGATTCATGGTCTTATTTCTTCAGGACTCAAAGACTCAAATCTCTCCTATCTTATCTAAACCCAGTAACTATTAAATGGCAGGCACACCAAACTCTTACTCTGAAGGCAGGCTAACCCTAAATGGTGTCCAAACATAACTACCTTGGTGTTACCAGAACTGGAAATGCCAGTCTGTGAGAAGGACCATTCTCTCCCCATGCCCACAGCCCATTTAAACTGTTTTCAGAGGCACAAAAAGCTCAAAGTAACAGAGTGTTTACTAAAAAACTGACTTTTGTAGCATGTACTCTGCAGATGCTGTGCACCTACCTGAAGGTACAACTAAGCACCTGAACCCAACCAAACACTTCCATCACTCCAGATTTTCCTGTCACAGCAACTAGCTTCCACTGAATGTTTTCCCCAAAGCAAGGAAGCCTTGTAAGTAATGCTTCATTTTCACAGGGAGTTTGCAGCAGCAGTTTCTTGGCAATATCTTTGGTGTGCATTCTGCAGTGTGCAATTTTTTGGCTTTTTACTGGGAGAAACTACCCCTGTGGCAAGAAAGGCATTAACATAGTTATAGGTTAGTGAGAAGCCCTCATGGTATTCAGGCTATTTGAGCTATTGGGAACAAACAGCATTTAGCAAAATGCTGAGCAAGGAACAATTTCATCTTGCTGTGAAAACTCTCATAGAATTATGCAGAAATGTTCAGAAACACACTGTTCTTCTAGAGGCTTTCACTATAAACTCCTTCACATATGCATTTTCTTCTTGCTGGGATTAAAGTGGTTTAGAAGGCTACAAAATAAAACAACTTCTAATAATCACAATCCTATTAGCAGTCACAGAACTTGAAAAAGCTTTACAGAGAAGCAATTACTTTTCCCCTTTTACACAGAATGATAGGAGACACCAGGATGCAGCATGTTCCAGGCACCAAGCAACATTCTCTCCATCAACTATAAAAGACATTAAGAGTCAGAGACTGAAGTGCAGTGGCTGCATAAACATACAGCCACACCACATAATTTCTCACTGCCACGTGGTTCAGCTGCTGGGATAATGCTTTACATGGCATCAGGGGATTTCAGACTGTTTGCCAGCTGATATGTCCTAAAACATTCCCCACTCTCCATCTTGCTTAGTGACCCTGCACGCCTTTTTTGGCAAGACACTTGTCATGACTAAGTCAGAGAGATAGGTATTGCTCTTCCTTCCCTTCCAGATGTCCTATCCCCCAGTTCTTTTGTTTTCCTTACCCTTGATTATCATCTCAAAGTCCAGCTACCAAAACCCTCTAGAGCTCTAACACGGCAGAAATGTCATCTGTGTAAAACTCAGGTCTCCAAGGGAGCTAACTCTGCAAAGATGAAAGTCAATGTCCCCAACTGAGGCAGCACAGCAGGACCCTGAGTCAATCTGACAACAATGTAATTTCATCCACTTGTAATTCATCACATCTGAGTAAACACTTTTAGGATTAATATGAATCTTCAAAGAAAATAACTGAGCATCGAGACAAATCCTTTTCCAACACACATAGATGTGGACATTTATAAAAACAGTACAGTCATGAAGCTCGGAAACTTTTATTATTTGTTTTCTGTTAGCCATGAAAAACAACAGAGAAATCATTATAAAATGATTTCATGAACTGACCTTTCCCTCCCAACAGACCATAATATATCTGACTGTCTGGAAGAAAAGCAAGATCAGGAGCCACCCCTACTTCAACATCCCTCTCTACTAAAGAAAGAAGAACCCAAAGTAAAAATTGGCACCCAGGTTTCCAAATTATGAATCTTCATGATAATCTTGGGCAAAACAAACAAAAGGCCCATAGTAACTGAGATTTAACAGAACGGACCTTTTAAAATTCCTCTGATGTCTTCTCTGTGAAACTCAGAGCAACAACTGCTAACAGAAGTGACATGGCAGAAAAATCTACAACTGTTTTTGCTTCTTAGAAGAAAACTTTCACCAATATTACTCCACAACAAATTCACACCAAAAAGCCACAGGTCCAAAAGTAACTTTAAAACAGGAGGGAAAGAAATAGTGGAGAACGAAACAAAGCAATAGAGAATGATGGGTTATCCTGACATAACTGATGTTTTGCCATTTAATTATTTTTAGTGTTAAAAATAGCCCCTTCATGAAGAAAAATACACACTTGCTTATATTTGCCTTTTATATGCTTCATGCAGTTGTGACATTGATGACCTGTGATCATAAAATACACAAACTGGACACTGCAACATGCACTTAAGTGTTTTGTAATCATTTTGAGTGTAGAAGACACATAATCTTTAGAAAAATGCCCCACTGTACTGAGCCTACAGTGCTTAATGAGCAGTCCCATCCTGCCTCA